ATTTAATGGGAAATTTTTTATTTTTCTTTATAAAGTTTTTTTTTTTTTTTTTTTTAATTCTATAAAATATTAAAATCAAACTGTTCTTTAATTTGTTTCAGCTTAAACTATTATTTATTTTTACACCTTCTCAACATTTATCAATGATTACGTTCTTGTCATATGAATATTATGAAACAAACAATTATTTTTTATATATATGTAATTAGAATAACATAAGAAGAAAAAATTATTTATTTAAATATAATTCGTTTAAACTTAGATTAAAGTTAAAAAAATATAGGAATATCAGATATAATTGGTAAGTTCAAAATATTAGAAAATTAAAAAAAAAAAAGATGTTTTTGTTTGATTTTAATATTTTAAATATATTAACAAAAAATTACTTTATAAAGAAAAATAAATAATTTTCCATTAAATAAGCGATTTTTTGTTTTATTTTAGTAATCAATATTTATATATTTTAATAAATAAAAACAATAAATATTTTCAAGAATAATTATTCTTATTTAGAATAAAAAGGTTGTGTTTGAATTTAGATTATATAATTTAAATTTCCTCCACCGCCAGTTACCTCAAAAAATTTACCTTACCGACAACTAATTTCTTACTTATGACTTAGAAGACTTAGAAGACTTAGAAGACAGATCAATTATCGTTCTTTTGTAATGTTTCATGGGTTACAGTTTAATTTTTTTCATAAATATGATATTTAAATGTTTTAATGTGTATATATAACTTGTTAGAGAGCAAGTTACTTTTTGAATATTCCTTTACAATTATTACATTGGCTACATTTCCGTTCGGATCACTCAGATGACCCCGTGGCAGCGTTTTAGTGCAGTTTAAAAAAACGCGCGCGTTTTATTTACGATGTTCAAAGTAAAGCTCAGTATGTAATCCCACATTGAATACATGGTCTTCAATAAATTTAGTTTTACAATTTTCTCATTAAAATATATAATTGTTTGATTTACTGACAACAAAACATTACAACACTGGATTAACCCCGTGGTTATGAAAAAGTCATTGACTTGTTGAAAATAACTATTACAATTTAAATTTGATATTTCGACGGTAGTGAAAGTTATAATTATTGTGTCTGTAAGTATTATATATCATTTGACTCAAGGCTATGTCTATGATATGCATCTGACAAATTTATGTTAAATAGATAATTATTTGATTCATTTAATTTTTTTTTAATTGGCACGTATTCCAGATGGAGTTCAAAAGTAGCCAAGCTTAAGGTAAAATTAAATCATTTTTTTGATGAAAATTAAATTAGCCGACTTCTAAGAATTTTTAGAAGTTTTTTTTATTGAAAAATAATTTTTAAAAAATTAAAACAAAAATTTTCATATGTAGAAAATTTTAAAAATTATCCGTGGAATTTTTTAAAAATAGTTTTTTAGTTTTAATTTTTATTAAAAAAAAAAAATCAAAAATTTTTGAGTGTCGGCTAACTTAATTTTCATTTTTTTTTTTAACTAATTGTAGGGCTATATTAAAATTTAGAATTTATAAAACTCTTCAAATATTAGTTCAATTTTATACACTAACATGTTTCATTTCTTTTTCATAACTTATTACTTATTCCTACCATTGACCTTAAAACAAAATAAATGATGCAATAATAAAAGATAGTTACTATTATATTTTTTATTGCTGAAGAAAATATACAATTTATTGCACTTGATAACATATTTAATGCAATAAGTTAAAATTATTAATTATTTATTAAAAATTAACATTTTTTGACTTATTTAACATTTTATTTAGCATAAAAAGTATAAAACAATGCGGAGTAAGTATTGCTGATTATTTATAATTTTATAATGATGAAGCTTAGATAAAAATAAAACATGTAGTAATTATAAAAATTAATAATAATTGGTTAAATTTTACAAGTGATTATTTAATGTCATAATTCATAATAAAATAGTAATAATTACTTATTCAGTGTAACAATGAAATTTTTATATGTGTGTGTATTTATAAAAGGCATTATACTAATTATAGGCCAGTAAATATATAAATAAATAATTTATTCATAGAAAATTAGCATGATTAATATTTTTATTGACCGTAAAGTGTTGAAATGCCATGATCATTTATTAATTAATCACAAGAATAATTAAATAAATAAACGAATAATTATTTTTTACTATATAACTATTAATGCTATCATTAGGCTTATATGTGGTAATGCCGGAAGAAACAAAATTATTACAACAGTTGTAATAAGAAAATCTTTATATTACTCATTACATTAAATAACAAATTAAAAAAAAAAAAAAAAAAAAAAAAAAAAAAAAAAAAAAAAAAAAA